TTTCATTTCCAAATCCATTTTGGCATTGTTTTCCATATCGATTTTATACTCTTAGCATTTTAAAATCCGTTTTCAGATCCACAGCATCTTTTTTCCATTTCACTTTTGCAACTTTTTAAAAAATCAAATCCACATTCAAATCAGACTGTTCTATCCAATAAATTCTCTTGTCATTCTATATCCTGGCTTTAGTGTCAAACAATCTTGTAAGCAACTTCTGAGTATATTGTCCCAAATAGCCTTAATTTCTTCTGTAGTCAAATTGCTCCATTGCATTTATGTGACTGTTTTCTTTTAAGAATAATTGTTTTGTTCTCCCTGGTTCCCTCCAGCCAGCCTTCAAGTCCCCTTTTATCTATTTATTTTCCAATCAACAAAACTTTCTCACGGAAGGAATACTTACAATTCAATGACTGCATATATTCTTTTATACATTTTTAAACACCCCACAGCAAATAATCTTTCTAGTCCAACAAGCCTCTTAGCTTTTGAAAATCCCTATTTCTTTCCCTGCTGGAGAACACTGTTTTATGATCTCTTCACAGGGAGATTCTGTATGGAGCCAACAGGGGTGATCCATGTCCTCTCCTTAGTCCAGAGAGGAATTCCAAGAAGCCAATCCATTCACTGGCTACATTTGTTGACTCTGCGAAAAGCAGAGCCATGATTTCCAATCATTGCTGCCTGGAGATCTATTACAATATAATTTTAAGTGTACTTTTGATAGAAACAGCATTGTATTATGTAATCCAATATTTTATTTATTTATTTTATTTATTTTTTACTTACAAGATAATAGGTATAAGTAAAAACATAGTTATGAATACATGGATACATATAAGAAAAATAAAAAAATATAAAAGAAACAATAGGACAGGGACGGTAGGCACGTTGGTGCGCTTATGCACTCCCCCTACAGACCTCTTAGGAAAGGGGTGAGGTCAATAGTAGACAGTCTAAGGTTAAAGTTTTTGGGGTTTGGGGAAGAAACCACAGAGTCAGGTAGAGTATTCCAGACATTGACCACTCTGTTGCTGAAGTCGTATTTCCTGCAATCAAGTTTGGTGCGATTAACCTTGAGTTTGTATCTATTGTTTGCTCTTGTGTTGTTATGGTTGAAGCTAAAGTATTCATTGACAGGTAGGACATTGCAATGCATGATTTTATATACTATACTTAGATTGGACCGGATTGGTTAATAATGGATTGGTTAATAATTGATTCCATGACTTTACAGGTGACGCAGCATAAAGAGATTGGTCTGTAATTTTCAACTAGGCTGGGTCTCCCTTTTTGAAGATGGGGATGACCATGGCTTGTGACCATAGTTTTGGCAAGGAGATGGTCCTGAAAGATTTTTCAAAGATTATGCTTAGAGGTTCTGCTATGGCAGTGGATAGCTTTTTAAAGAAGTATTCCGTCTGGTCCAATAGATAGAGATGGTTTTAGATTGCATAGTGCTTTTTCAACATTGTCTTCTGTAAAATCGATATGTATTAGATCATTGTAGTTGTCTGTGGTTCAACTAGGAAATACTGGGCATGATCCATTGCTGTTTACAAATACTGAGCCAAAGAATGTGTTAAAGAGGTTGGCTTTAATAGTGTCGTCGTTGCAGTCCTTACCATTAGGTCCTTTCAGGGGTGGGATGGACCTTGGGTCTTTTAGTTTGTTGTTGTTTACAAAATTGTAGAAAGCGTGGGTAGAATTGGTGCTTAGAAGATTTTCTTCCTGTTTAGTGTGATAATTGGTGCATTCAGTTTTTATCTGGTGGCATAAATTTTTGTATTGGCTTTTGAAGTTGGCAACATGACCAGATTTGTTTTTCCGCCAAAGTGATCTCTTTTTGGATTGAAGCTTCCTTATTGTTATGGGTAATTTATTTTTTCTGGTTTTGGGACTTGTTAATGGTACATATAGTTTGATGACTCTTTTGACTTCAAGTAAAAATATGTTGTAATGGTCTTCTACAGTATTGCATCCAGAGAATAGAAATTGCCAATCCAGGGATGAGAGATCGTTGTTTATAAGATCATAGTTGCCTTTTTTGAAGTTATAATTGGGGATTCCGTTGTTGTAATGATTTTTGTGTGGACGTATTTTGAGAGAAAAGTCAATCATGTTGTGGTCAGTGTTGGAAAAAGTTTCTTTAATTTGTATTCCGTAAACTGAATTCAAACTATTGCAGAAGATGAGATCGAGGCAGTTGTTACGTCTAGTGTTGTTGGTTACTAGTTGTTCTAGTCCCAGATTTGTTACTGCATTGTAGAAGGTTGCATGTGTGGGTTCAGTTGTACATTTGTTAAGGGTCCAGTTAATATGAGGTAGATTGAAGTCACCAAGGAAGATAAAAACGTGTGGGCAGGATGCTGCCCATGTTAGTAGTGTATTTAGCTTGTTTGCATGTTCGATGTCATAATCAGGAGCTCTGTAACATAGTAAGAACTGAAATGTGATATTTAAGGACAGTTCATAGATGATGGTCTCAGGGATAGCAAACTCCTGGGTAACTTGGATGTTTTTTAGATGTAGGGACTTTTTTTATAGAAGATAGCAACACCACCTCCTCTACAGATTTCACGATCTGATTGGTAAACATGATAGTCTCTTACTGTGGTAATGGAGTCAGGGAGAGATGCGTTGAGCCATGTTTCACAGACAAATATAATGTCAAATTTAGTCGTATTTAGTAAGAGGAGAAATTCAGGTATTTTATTTACAAGGCTTCTTGCATTTAAGGCCAGTTGTGGTTGGAATAGAGGTAGTTAGGGGCATGCTTGCCTAGTTTTGAGTGATGTTGGATCAGAGATGGGACTTCATATTGGACCTTCTTGGGATGTTCTCTCAGTCTTAGGAGCAAGAAGAGTCAACTAACTTGCCAACAAGAAATGTTCACAACATGGAGATATTAACTGATAGAGGGCAATTGATACAGCCTCAGACAAGTCTGTCTTGGGTTACACGTCGGATGTTAAGTGGGATGTTTCTTCCAGTGAGAGCTAATGTTTCATATTTATTTTGTACCCGAAGACCTCATAAATCTATTATGAAAATTGGACCAGGATGCCTCCAATGAGCATCTCGCTCTGTGGCACATCATTTGGCCATTGAGACATCATTAGAAGAGGCTTTATATTATTTCAGCGATGGCTGAGCGATATCAAGAGATACTTCAAGTATGAGAGCGGTGACACTGTGGTAGAAGAATTGCTGGGAAAATGCTGACTTGAGTAACCAGATATGGAAGCAAATAATCCAAATTTAAAAGAGCCTTTATATTCTTTTCTATAGTCTTATGATCCCCAAAGCAGAACCAAGAGGGGTGTGTAGTTTGCAAATGTATTAGTTTGGGTACGTATGGCGAGTGTCACTAATAGCTCTTCTCAAAGTAAGGGCATTCTTCTGCATTTCCATTGTATCAGGGAACAGGAAACATTTTTAGCTAGGGGGTGGGGGGGGCTTCTTTCTGGCCTGTAATGTTGTAATTTTAATGAAAAGGAAGTTTATATACTGGAAATACATGAAGAATGTGTATTCGAGTAGCTACATACAACTTCGCAGAAGATCAGAAAGGAACAAAGAAAGAGATGGACACTGTGTTTAATAATCTTCAAACAAGGATTGGCAGAGCAAGAGATAAAGGAGAAGGTTTAAAGCAGGGGTCCCCAAACTTGGCAACTTTAAGACTTGTGGACTTCAACTCCCAGAATTCTCCAGCCAGTTGGCTGGAGAATTCTGGGAATTGAAGTCCAAAGTCTTAAAGTTGCCACGTTTGGAGACCTCTGCTTTAAAGGAATCCTTGTGAGGATCTCACCTCCTCTTTGTATTTGTTAGCAGTGAAGGAGCTTAGAAGCAGGCCATCCCAAGTCACATCTTCAACATTCCTAAATCCTTTGCTCTTGCAAAGAACTAACAGGGAGACCTCGCTTAACAACTGCCCTGTTTAGCAACTGTTTAAAACTACAAGGGCACTGACAAAGTAACATTATGACCAGTCCATGTGCTTACAACCAGGGGTGGGATTCTACCAGTTCGCACCTATTCAACTTTCTAAGCAGTTTGGAGAACCGGTTGTTAGAAGAAATTACTGGCCTAATCCTGTAAGGAAGGCAGGAAGGAAACATTCTGGTGTTGCTTACAGAAACTGCCTCTCCGTTAACCCTTATTACATTCTTGGCAGGACTAGACTTCCTGTCTCAGGAACTTCTCTGGAGTTTTTTTTCCCCTCCTTTGCTGGTACTTAGCTTGTGTGGAGTGACCATTCAAAGTTACAATGATACTGAAAAGTGACTCATGACCATTTTTCACACTTACGACTGTTGCAGCATCCCCACAGTCATGAGAGGCCAGGGGAGGAGATGAGTGCCTCGATGTGAGTGATGTTGAGTTGGCCATGCCCAGCCAGTCACATGACCACCAAGCCGCACCCACCACCTAAGCCATGCCCACAGAACCGGTTGTTAAAAAATTTGAATCCCACCCCTGCTTACAACCATTGCAGTTTCCCTGTGATCGAGATTCTGGTGCTTGGCAGCTGATGGGTGGCCATTGACCACCATATTTGAACTTCACAGCCAACTTCTGACAAGCAGTGGAGAAGAAATTGCAAATCGTGGTCATCTCACTTAATGACTGCCGGTGATTCATTTAACCACAGTGGAAGTGAGGCTGTAAGCCTAACATGGTCACAGGATCTCTTGCTTAACAACTATGTCCCTTAGCAACAGAATTACCAGCCCCAAATCTGATCATTAAATGATAATTGCCTGTATAATACTATCTTATATTGATGTGAGAGCAAAGTTTGCCCTCTTCACCTGGGCACACACTGTAAAATTTTGCCCTTGGTGGATTGAGAGCATTACAAGACATTCAGAGTATCTTGTGCATTCCCCTCTCTCCAGTCTTTGCAACATAAACCATTTCTTACATTTGCAATTGGATTATGCAAAACATCATATCTGTCAAAACCTGCTTGTGTTTCTTCTTTTTGCGTTTAGCTTTTCTAGGATTCTGCAAGAAACTGTGAAGGAGCTGGCACCACAATGTGATGTAACTTTCATGCTGTCTGAAGATGGAAGTGGAAAAGGAGCAGCCTTAATTACAGCCGTGGCCAAACGTATGCACCAAGTTGCTGAAAATTAAATTGATCTCACAGACCTGAGTGGGCAAGAAGGATCGACTGCAAAAGTTCCTACACACACAGTTGTGGCACCGATCAATCCAAAAGGGTCCATTTTTGCAGTTGATGGCCAGAAAGAACACGGGATACAATTTGTCATGTCAAAACTGATGGGAGAGTTTGCCTTATCTGGACACTGTCTCCTAAGCTGCCTGATATACAACACCGTACTGCGTATTTCTTCATTGTGCCTAGCACAATTCAAAATATTAAATGGCCAAGTTCCATAGGTTTGTTTTAAAGAAATCAGTTTCTTTTGAGTGTATTTATACAACCCCTGTTCTCTGTCCTAATTTAGTAATTTCTTGTTAATGTTAAAATATCATTTGTATTGCATAAATACTTATTGGAGAATAGGTATAATATACCATAGCTATATGTCGAGAGCTGGTGCTGTTTACCTGCTGCAGTATTTTTTTCACAGAATATGAAGGTTGGAAGGTACCTCCGAGATCACCTAGTCAATCTCGCTACCGGGTGGAGGAATCTTACAGCATCTCCAACACATATCCATCCAAGCAAGCAAAAAGGCTAATGTATAAAATGTAATAAATTAATGTTTTCCCCCATAAAAGTTGTCTCTTGGGTGACTCTCATTGTATGTTAAGTTTTCTTGCATTTATTTGATGTTGCTTTTAAAGTATGAAGTCTATTTGATTTCAGTGCATGTTTAATAATGCTGAGAGAGCAGAAAAAGAAATTCCTCATGCATTTTCTTGAAAAAGCAATGCCTGCTGGAGAAAACATTTGTGGCTACACACTGTTCAGTTTGAACAGCTATTTTTCTAGAGACACACAAGCAGATTGGTTCTCATGACCGGTACTTACTTTAAAAAAAGCAGCAACCCACAAAAATTAGAATGTTACAGCACCTGAAGTTTGTTTTCTCCAAGGGTTCATTTTAATGCTTCAGTTTCATACCCTGCTTCTTGATCTGTCCTTCCCTAAACTCAAAATTGCTTGAGATTGCACTCAGAGAAATTATAATGATTCTATGTGTGAAAATGTTAGAAATCACCTTAGTCCAGCCCTCCCATTTTCCAGCCATCAGTAGTATGTTCCTAATTAGGGTTTTGGGGGATTCAGGGGCCTTTGCACAGCAGGTTGGGACCATGGTTCTCAACCTTACCAACTTTCACACGTGTGGACTTCAACTCAGAGGTGGTATTCAGTAGGTTCTGACCAGTTCTGGAAAACCGGTAGCGGAAATTTTGAGTAGTTCGGAGAACCAGCTAATGACACCTCTGACTGGCCCCGCCTCCATCTATTCTCTGCCTCCCGAGTCCCAGCTGATCGTCTGGGTCTTCTTTGGTTGCCCTGCACAGGAGAACGGAGCTGGAAAGCAGGTTAGTGGGGTAGGGAGGGAATGGGATTTTGCAGTAACCTTTCACCCGGAGAGGGGTGGGAATGGGGATTTTACAGTGTCCTTCCCTTGCCACACCTACCAAGCCACGCCCACAGAACTGCTAGTAAATTTTTTTGAATCCCACTACTGCTTCAACTTCCAGAATTCCCCAGCCAGCCATTCTGGCTGGGGAATTCTGGGAACTGAAGTCCACATATCTTAAGGTCTCCTCCTTTCTCCAAGAATCCCATTATGCAAAGATAATGCAATGTCTTCTGAACAACATTGATCTACCTACTTCTGCACATAGACAAAAAAAAAGTTAAAAATGCCTTGTTCTTATTCCTGTTGTTTTATCCAAGAAAGTAACTATGGAATATTTCACATCCGAAAGTCTAAAGGGGGAGAATTATGACAGTTAAGAGTTAATAGAAGCCAGTGATTTTCTGCAGAATTTTATCATTCATTTATTTGGCAATTTGTATCTCACCAGGCTCAAAGTTGCATCAGCCTTCTATCCTTCCGAGGTGGGAATGTCGTGCTAGTGCAGGGGTCTCCAACCTTGGCCACTTTAAGCCTGGAGGACTTCAACTCCCAGAATTCTATGATTCTATCAAATAATAATATACTGGACAAAAAATAAATAATATAACAGAGGCACTTTATCTGCTGATGCTTAAGCACAGAGCACAGATGTCATGGCAATATCTTTCTTTCTGCAATGTCCCACAACTTTGTCCTCATCTCATCCCTACTCATTCTTTCTGGAACTGTTCACTGGTTGTTATGAAGTTGGGTTAAAGGACTTGCAATGCCAGACACATGAAGGACTCTGTTTGGGGATAAAATATAGGAGACAATGGCTAAGTTGGGCAATGGAATGGAGAGTTATTCTATAATTTTTGTTTTCTCCAGGGCATTTTTAGGCAGAACTACACCTACATCTAGATTTACAACTCAGAAATGAATGCATCATAGTTCAAATGTATGGTTTCATTATTTGTAAAATCTCTATTAAACTTTGCCTGTTCAAGGAATCAATGCAATGATTTCATAGTTTGCACATTCTTTTCTTTAGATTATTCACCAATTCCCCCCACCACCAACCTTTAGAGTTTAGACCATACGATTTTGTCCATATTTTTCAAAATATAATTAGTGGCCCTTTAACTGCTTCTCCTCCTACACAGGTGAAACTCGAAAAATTAGAATATTGTGCAAAAGTTCATTTATTTCAGTATGCAACTTAAAAGGTGAACATAATATATGAGATAGACTCATTACATGCAAAGCAAGATAGTTCAAGCTGTGATGTGTCATAATTGAGATGATTATGGCTTACAGCTCATGAAAACCCCAAATCCACAATCTCAGAAAATTAGAATATTGTGAACAGGTTCAATATTCTAGGCTCAAAGTGTCCCACTCTAATCAGCTAATTAAGCCAACACCTGCAAAGGGTTCCTGAGCCTTTAAATGGTCTCTCAGTCTGGTTCAGTAGGAAGCACAATCATGGGAAAGACTGCTGACCTGACAGTTGTGCAGAAAAACATCATTGACACCCTTCATAAGGAGGGAAAGCCTCAAAAGGTAATTGCAAAAGAAGTTAGATGTTCCCAAAGTGCTGTATCAAAGCACATTAATAGAAAGGTATGTGGAAGAGAAAAGTGTGGAAGAAAAAGGTGCACAAGCAGCAGGGATGACCGCAGCTGGAGAGGATTGTCAGGAAAAGACCATTCAAAAGTGATGGGGACTTTCACAAGGAGTGAACTGAGGCAGGAGTCAGTGCATCAAGAGTCACCACACACAGAGGGATCCTGGACATGGGCTTCAAATGTCATATTCCTCTTGTCAAGCCGCTCCTGAACAACGAACAACGTCAGAAGCGTCTTACCTTGGCTAAAGAAGACCAGAACTGGTCTGTTGCTCAGTGGTCCAAAGTCCTCTTTTCTGATGAGACCAACTTTTGCATCTCATTTGGAAACCAAGGACCCAGAGTCTGGAGGAAGAATGGAGAGGCACACACTGCAAGATGCTTGAAGTCCAGTGTGAAGTTTCCACAGTCTGTGTTGATTTGGGGAGCCATGTCATCTGCTGGTGTTGTTTCTCTGTGCTTCATTAAGTCCAGGGTCAACGCAGCCGTCTACCAGGAGATTTTGGAGCACTTCATGCTTCCTTCCACAGATGAGCTTTATGGGGATGCTGACTTCATTTTCCAGCAGGACTTGGTACCTGCCCACACTGCCAAAAGCACCAAAACCTGGTTCAATGACTGTGGAATTACTGTGCTTGATTGGCCAGCAAACTCGCCTGACCTGAACCTATGGGGCATTGCCAAGAGAAAGATGAGAGACATGAGACTGAACAATGCAGAAGAGTTGCAGGCTGCTATTGAAGCATCCTGGTCTTCCATAACATCTCAGCAGTGCCACAGGCTGATAGCTTCCATGCCACGCCTCATTGAGGCAGTAATTGCTGCAAAAGGGACCCAAACCAAGTACTGAGTACATATGCATGCTTATACTTTTCAGAGGTCTGATAGTATTCTATGTACAATCCTTGTTTTATTGATTGCATGTAATGTTATAATTTTCTGAGATTGTGGATTTGGGGTTTTCATGAGTTGTAAGCCATAATCATCACAATTATGACAAATCACGGCTTGAACTATCTTGCTTTGCATGTAATGAGTATCTCATAAATTACTTTCACCTTTTAAGTTGCATTACTGAAATAAATAAACTTCTGCATGATATTCTAATTTTTCGAGTTACACCTGTATAGCTTTAAGCACAGTAGTGTAAAAAGTATAAAAAAAATATTGCACTTGTTGCTTTCCCAGTTGGTCATTTGCCACCTCACTTTTCCAAGGAACTCCTTCTCTAACAATATTATCTCCTTACATTTAAAAAAAATATTTCTATAATCTGTTCTTCAAGGGATTTCGATATCACTTTTTCACCCACCAAACCTGTGTGTCTTTTTCCGGTTATTCTTCAATATATTTTTTTATCTTAATAGAAACATTCATGTGGCATTTCTTCCTAGACCTCTAGAGGGCAAAGACAGTTTACACATGGAAAAATATTTTCTGTGGACTGCCTGGGGTGGGATTTTGCATGCTGCCTGCATTCCCGGGATAGGGCTTCGCTTGTTTGAACAGCCCAGTTTCTGGCATGCCTTGCACCAGTGCTGGTCCATGGACTGGGAATTGGGGATCCCCTGGTTTAGGATACTTTGGCAAGTGATCAATTAATACTATTTTCACTGAATTTACCTTACCGAGAAGAGCAATAGCCAGAATATATATATATGGTCTCCTGCTCTCTTCATTACACTAGAAGAAGTTGCTGGTTACTTTTTAACGTTCTACCATCGAGAGCATTTTGGCATACTCTGTAATGGTGTGGTATGCTGGATGCTCTGCAGTGGGTAAGAAGATGCTCCAGAGAGTTATAAACACAGCACAAAAAATATCATCGGTTGCTCTCTTTCTTCTTTGGAAGAGATTGCGAAGACCAGACTCCTCTCTAGAACACTAAAAATCTCCACAGACCATTCTCATCCTGGATATTCATATTTCGAACTGATACCATCAGGGAGGAGTTATAGGTGTCTTAAAATGAGGACTAATAGATTGAGAAACAGTTTCTTTTCCAAGGCAGTAATTGTCTTGAATCAAACAGTGCATTTGTGATTTAGTCCTATTATTATTATTAATTTTTAAATACTCTGTAGTATGA